CTTTCCAGGAATCTCTGCTGCTACTCCCTGGAATGTTCTGCCTCGGCAGTCAGGTTAATCATTCGCTGTCCTGCCACAAACCTCTGCTTCCGGGCCTTCTTGAACTTTCCCCCCTCCCTGTGTTACCTTCCTGCTCCTCCTCACCTGTCTGTGGTGGGCCAGGTCTAACCTTTGAGCTTGGCATGAAGGATTCAAAGCACATCTGAGCCTGAAACTATAGCAGATACCATACGGCATATTCAGCATAGTTTATGTGCTGATTCTTAGGGCTGACGTTTCACTGACACCTGTCTTATTTTGTTTGCTGGACTGTCCACTCTGAGAAGATATTTTCTTATGTTTCCCACAGAGTCTAGTGCGTCATCTGGTACATAATGGTAAGTGCTATAGTTTATCAAAAGCTTAGCACGTGCTAGTCGCTTTATGTCACACCTCAGCCCTCCCACACGGGCGTTTTTATCACTCCCGCCTTACAGATGGACAGTTGAACCTTAAGGTTTACCTAGCCAGTAAGTGCAGGAGCCAGGCTTGAACACGGTCTGATTCTGGGGTGTGGGAGTCTTCTGTCACGTGGTTGATGAAAGTAGAGGTGAGTGGGGGGCATACCTGTGTTCCTTGCTCCCTCAGAGTTTATAATCCAGCTGTGCAGACCAGATGTGCAGTCTCTGTACAGAATAAAAAGTGTTGCTTGGCAGTGTGGCCAGGGCATGGACTTTGGAATGGCAGGCCTGAGATCAGATCTCAGCTCTGCTTTTAGAGCAGTGGTGTCTTGGGGAGGGAAGTAAGTAATTTACTTCTCTGAGCTGCTGTTTCTTTTCTTTTCTTTTTAACCTATAAGTGGGTAGGATGATACCTTCTAGAGCTTCTGTAAAGATTAGAATTAGGGGGAATGAAGATAGTTACTGGCAACTAGTCAGTCTTAGCCAGTATTATTTGTTATCATCATCCAAGGTGGGGGGCATGGATCAATGCCAATGTGGATGGTTCTGTGAAATTCAGAGATGTGGGAGGTCTCTGAAAGCTGGGTGGGTCAGAAAGCTTGTGGAAAGGGGCAAGTGTGAGCTGGATTATGAGATATGGCTGAGGCTTTCTTTCTTTTTTTTTTCCTGTAGCTTACTGATACGCTTTATTTGGCTGTGTGTTATTTCATTGTTTGAATTAGATGCCAACATTTAAAAATGGGATGGTATCTCACGAGCACACATCTATTTAGCCTCTCCTGAAATTCTGAAGGTGGAACCCACACTGCAGCATGACAGGAATCAAAGCTGAGTAGGAGCTGCTCTCTAGAAAAGGCAGCCCCTCGTCCTGCTTTACTCTTTTAATTTATCTGCCGTACCCTAGGGCTTGTGAGTTTGAAACCCCAGTTATAATCGCTTCTGGTCTTCTTCCTGTTGGACAAAGCATTAGCTTCCCGTTGCTGCTGTGGCAAACTTAGTGGCTTATGGTGGCGCACATTTATTATCTTCCAGCTGTGGAAGGCTGGAATCAGCAGGGATCGGTGACTTCTGGAGGCTCTGGTGATAATCCATTTCCTTGTCTTCTCCAGTTTCTAGAGGCCACCTCCATTTCTTGCTTTGGAGCTCTTTCTCCATTTTCAAAGAGGTGGCTAAAGTCTTAAATATGAAGAAAGGTCCATCTTTCTTCGTGCTTGTCTACTTATTCCACAAGTATCGGTTGTGGGCCTGTGCCCTGTGCAGGGACAGTGACGAACAAGACAGACAAACACCCTGATCTCCGGGTACTTACATTCCGGTGGGCAGGACAGTACAGTAACAGCAAGAAAGAGTCATGGAGGAGAGCACGTGCTAAACCAGGAGGAAGAAGGGGCTGCGTGGCTACTGGAGCTGCATAGTCCAGTCAGGCTTCTCTGTGGAGGTGACATCTGACCTGAAACATAAGGAGCTAGCCATGCCCTGATGAGAGGGAGGCTTCTACAGGCACAAGGAAGAGTACGTGCAGTGGCCCTGAAGGAGGAATGAGATCGGGAAGTGCAAGGAGCAAGCAGCAGGTGGTGTGGCTGGAGTGCTGTGAATGGGCGGGTTGTGAGAAGACAGTTCTGGGAGGAAAACAGGGCTTGCCTTGCCCTGGGGACTGGGCTGGGGTCTGAAGTTTACCCTAAGTATGATGGGAGGTTGTTGATGGGTTGTAAGTATGCTGCTAACGTGATGTGATTTCCCAGGTGGTGCCAGTGGTAAAGAATCTGCCTGCCAATGCAGGAGATGGAAGAGACATGAGTTTGATACCTGGGTCAGGAAGATCCACTGGAGTAGGGCATGGCAACCCACTCCAGTATTCTTGCCTGGCGAATCCCATGGACAGAGGAGCCTGGCGGGCTGCAGTCCGTAGGGTCACAAAGAGTCGGACATGACTAAGCACGCATCCCCTTGAAAAACATAACATATACACACACACATGCTATCATGATACACACACATATACACACACGTGCTAATATGACACACACACACATATATATACACATGTTAATATGTTATACACACAAACACACAGTTTGAAAAGCTCGCTGTGAGTGTGTGTGAAGAGTGGATTGCAGGGGCAGTGGTCCAGGTAGAGATGAGGGGGGCTTGGATGGGGGTATTGGAGATGGAGAGACATCACAGTTTTGGAGAAAAAGCCCATGGCTGCGTTTCTTTGAGCCTTTCCCCGAGTATGCTAAGGCTTTGGCTTATTTTAGGCCTTTTGCTGGTCTCTAGGGAGAATGTTCCTGGGCTTTGCCAGCCTCATGGCTGGGGGAAGAGGGGGGAGGCCTGGAGTGCTTGCCTGGCATCTGCGTAGCCTGTTGGTGTGGAGGTGACAGCTTCGGTCAGCGATGTCTTGCTGGCATGTTGACCACTTAGGTCATGTCTAGACATTCTTCCCCCAGCCCTCATCTTGATCCCAAACCAAACACGTCCACCTGCTGTTAATTCCACCTCTCTTCAGAGAAACTCTAGGTAAACCCCTGGGAGGCCCCAGGCCTCCTCCCAGGCTTCCCCAGGTCGGGAGCGGGCACTCTTCCAGAGTGTCCCTGTGTGCCAGAGCCAGGCCAGGTCAAGGTCAGCAGTTCTCCTCTGCCAGCCTGTCGTTCCAGTCCTTGCTGTGTGTTGAGTAGGAGAGCCCCAAGCCAGGGGGGCCTCCTTGTCACTCGCGTGTCCGCTCCGTGTTTTCTCCTTGTGTGCTGTGTCCTCTTGTGCACTGTGACTGTTAGCACAAGGCTTTAGTTTTCCCAGCCTCTCAGATGCTTTTTCACCACTCAGGAAGGAGACATTAGTATCGTCTCTTCTCTAGTGTCTGTGCAGCACGCTCAGGCTTCTGGTGAGTTGTATGGAACATGGACCTGCTATTGCTCACAACAGAACTTGAAGGATGGGAACCCACTCTCCCATCTTGGCCTTTTTCTTTTTTTTCAGTCTTGCACTCAATAATTGCTGGGTTAATAAACAAAGGACTCTACAGTGCATCAGTGACGCTGGTGGCCATTTCTTTCTGTGTCCTTAGTACTATCTGGTCAATGTTCCTTTGTGTGTCGGGGATCAAACATTTGCTGGCCGTTGCAGTCAGCCATCTGAAACGACCCGTTGTAGAAGTGAGGACTGAGGCTGAGAGAGCGGGGGAGAAGCCTCGCGGAGCACGTAGCGGGGCCTGCTGGAGGGCAGCGGTGGCTCAGACATCACAGAGCTCCTTCATGCCGCCATTGTGGTTCTCTGTGGCCCTTCCAGCACCTCTGTGGGTCGTGGTCTTGTGCCTGGTCTGAGGCTGCAATTATGACTGCCCTGGTGAGAGGGGAGGCTTTCATCCACATGGCAGGAATGAAGCCTGGGAGCCAGTTTTTCCCCTGTGTTGTGTTGATTGTCCCAAAATGCCCTCGGGTCCAGCCAGTGCCTCCCCCCACCCCCTTTCTCTATCCTGAGCATTCTGCCTGCACCACTGGGGATCTTAGTTCTCCCACCAGGCATCAAACCTGAGCCACCTCCATTGGAAGCACAGAATCTTAGCCCCTGGACCACCCTATCCTAAGCATTCTTAACCCTGCCAGGTCCTTTATCTCAGGAACAACCTGTTGACAGGAGAAGGAACAGCAGCTCTGGGCTCAAGCAGATCAGATCCTGGCCCTGCTGCTGGCCTGTTAGTTACTTAAAGATTCTGTCTTTGAACCTCAGTTTTCTAATTTGCTATTGGTCTTATCCTGGAGAGTCATTTTGAGGATGGAAGATGATGTGTTTAGTGGGGCAGTGTGGCATAGGGCTTGAGTGGAGGCTCTGGAGCTGACTGCCCAGGTTCAAATCCTGACTCTGTTACTTTGGAGCTGTGTGATTTTGGACAAGTTCCTTGAGTCTCTGTGCCTCACTGGCACAAAAGTACACCCTGTGGCCTCGTACCCTCTCCCCAGGGATGGAACCTCTTACTTTCTTCTCCCTGATCCCATTCCATTCAGAGGCTGGGGAGGGCCTGGATTTGAACATGACGTTTTATTTTGCTGAAGCCTTCTGGGTTGGAGGAAGCATTTGTTCCCTAACAGGAAGGGACAGGGTCTGCGTGGGAGAGATTGGTGACACTGCCTTGGATGGGGGATACAGACAGGAAGTTCAGAAATAAGCTGATAGCTAAAGAGAGTTAAGTTAGAGAGTTATTGGCACATAAAACAGAAATTCAGGCTTTTCAGAAAAATAACAGATGCCTAAATGTCAGTGGCGAGGAAGGGAGAAGGCTATCAGATTGTTTTTTGAGTAAGATCTCAGTGAGGAAAGAGCAGTTTTCATCTATTTCTCTTGCTTTGTTTGCCAGGTGAAAAAATTGAGACTCAAGGGAGTAGCCCTTTTAGCCCTTAATTAATTAGGGTCATCTATAGCGTGCACTAATTTTTTTTGTAATGTTCAGCTTGCCTTTTTGGCTAGATTGTCAGTTCCTTGAAGGCAGGTGCCCAGCTTTTGCCAGCCTCTGTGGTCCTGCTGGGCTGTGACTGATCAAGGTCCACTTCCTTGACCTCTGTTTTCCAGAGTGAGTACATTGCTCCGTGTGATTGTCGGCGCGCCTTTGTCTCTGGATTTGATGGCTCTGCAGGTGAGTCACTAAATTCTCTCTTTGTTCTTGTGGTACTTGTGTTCGCCTCCCTAAAATAATTGGGCCCAGTTTCAGTCCACGATACAGAACCAAAAAGAAAATGCAGACCAGACGTCCCCATTGACCCTCTGCAGAGGGGACATGGTCCTGGTGCCTGTAGCTCTAAGCTTACATTTTAGTTTTTTTTTCTTCTCTAGTGTGTTAATGATGCTTCTATTTCATGATTTTTTGCTTTTCAAGTCAAAAAATTTTATTTTAAAAACTGTGTTGGGGGACTTCCCTGGTTATCCAGTGGAAAAGAATTTGCCTTCCAAAGCAGGGGTTGCGTGTTTGATCCTTGGTGGGGGAACTAAGATCCCACATGCCTGGGGCAGCCAAACCCTCCTGCTGCAACTAGGGCAGCCTGCAGGCTCTGGAGCCTGCCTGCCACAGTGAAGACCCAGTGCAGCCAAAAAAAATATTGTTGAACTTTTTATTAAATATAACATACACACAGATAAGTATATCATGAATACCCCTGTGTAACTGGCTCTGCAGATAAGAAATGGGACAAGAGTGGCATCCTCAGGACCCCTTCCTTAGCTTTCTGGTCCCCTGTAATTCTCTAAGCACTTAACTTTTGGTTTCCTCCTTTTCCCTTTCAACTCGAATAATAAAGATTAATGTTGAGCTACACTGGCGCCCTGCATTAACTTTCCAAGAGCTGTTGCGCCCTCAAGGGCGGGTTTTCCCTTCAGGCTCCTATCCTGTTAAGTGGCTAGGCTTGGCGGGAGCCCCTATCCTCACAATTAGCGCACTGCTTCCATTGATGTAGGTGCATGTGTTGGTTGGCACATTTCAGTTGGTTTTGGCTGACACCTCTGCTGAAGGCCCTGAATTCTTTTGGGCCTGTGGGAGCTGAGGGCAGGTAGAGGTGGAGGCATAAACTCCCTGTAGCTCCCTGAATGCTCACAGCGCCCAGGTGGTGTCCCTTGGGAAAGGCAAAACACCTTCCTTGGGGTGTCTGTTGAAGCACGTAGCTGTGACTGCTGAGCAGGAACCATTTTTGCCTGCCTCCTGTTGACTGGAGGCCCCTGTGGCCCTCTGTCCACAGACCTCTGTTCTTCTGGTCTTGACTCACGTTGTGCACATGGGGTCCTTTCTACTGGTCCCGTGGTACTGGCACCCAGGCTGCCTCCAGGCTGCTGCTTTCCGCGGTTGGCCCACAGCTGGTCGTCAGTGGTGCTGTCTTCTCTTGCCTGGAGGTTTCCTTGGAGTCAGAGGCCCGGCTGCCCCCAACGTGGGGGTGGGTGGTGGGGCCACATGTAGTCTGGCGCCTCTCTCCCGCTCGCCCGCCTGCTGCCTTTTTGTGCAGCTTCTCGGTGTTTGTCAGGAACCGCTGTCGTTCCTTTGCCTCCCTCCCCCAGGCACAGCCATCGTCACAGAAGAGCATGCGGCCATGTGGACGGACGGGCGCTACTTCCTCCAGGCTGCCAAGCAGATGGACAGCAACTGGACGCTCATGAAGATGGGTGCGTAGAGGCACAGCCGTCTCAAGTTTAGCTGGCTGCTCAGGAGGAGACCCTGGAACTCCTCAGGGCTTGTGGATCTTAACCCTTTTATGGGGTCAGGGACCCTTTATAGAATCCAAGGTGTCTTAGTAACAAACTACCATGGACTGGGTGGCTCAGACAACAGAGATTTAGAGAAGGGATACATGTATACGTATGGCTGAGTACCTTCCCTGTCCACCTGAAGCTACCAGAACATTGTTAATCGGCTGCCATTGTTCAGTTCCCCAGTCAGGCCCAACTCTCTGTGACCCCATGGACTGCAGCTGTACCCCAATACAAAATAAAAAGTCTCAAGTTTTGGGGGGGAAAAAACAAGAGAAATTTATTTTTTCATGGCTGGTGGCTGGAAATCTGAAATCAGGGTGCCAGTGTGGTCAGGCCCTGGTGAGAGCCTTCTACCTGGCGTGCAGATAGCCACCTTCTCACTTATCCTTACATGGTTCTCTCTCTCTCTTCCTCTTCTTAGAAGGCTACCAATCCTACTGGATTAGAATTCTACCCTATGACTTCATTTAACCTTCAGTATCTCCTAAGCTCCTGTCTCCAAACGTAGGTCACATTGTGAGGTAGGACTTTAGTGTATGAATTTTGAGGGAACACATTCCAGTTGATGATACAAGGAAGAACAAGAAAGTGACAGGCTTCCATATACAAACCATCATGCATTCAATTTTGGAAGGTCCTGGCTCAGAACCCTTGTTTCAGTGAGGAGTAGCTGAGGGCCAGAGAGGACCCTGTGTCTTTGACTCACATCCTGGGGGCCTTCCCATTGCTCTCTGCTGCCTCGTGATTTCGAATGAGGTGAAGGTAAGGGGTCCCTGGCAGCCGAAATAGGAAGCTCTCCTTCTGAGGATCCTGACTCGCTTCTGGCAGTTTAGCCACAGGGCGAGATCATGGGTCTGCAGCTTTCTTGGGCAAGTTAGTTCACCTTCAGTTTCCTTATCTATGAGGTAGAATGATAATGGTACCATAAAGTGGTGAGGATTAAAAAAATAATATATGGAAAGCATGGAGCTCAGTGTTTATTATTGGATAATGATAATGTGTGTGTGTGTGTACACGGGTTTTTCATTTAATTGTGTGCTGTATTTTTCCTTGTCATCAGAGTAGTCTTTCAAAACAGGGTTTTAGTGATTGTGCAAAGGTACAGCCTGCTGCATTTTGAACTTGGACAATAGAAGAAGGGGAAAGCAGCTGCCAGGGCTGAGTGAGGAAGAGGAGAAAAGGCCAAATCCCTGATGTTTCTTGTTGTTGGAAGTTATGAGGAAATCGGGTTGTTACCAGACTCACAGTTCAGGGAACAGAGGGCTGTTGATATTGAGTTGAGTTGACCCCGGGATCTATTATTGAGGTTATGTGTGTGTGTGTGCGCGCGCATGCGTGCATTCTCCACACACTGTCCATATACATGTATAAATGTTTGGCTTAGGGAGGAATTAAGAATGTTTTTATCCTGGCAATGGATTTATTTTAAACTTGGGTTTCTCAAAACTCTTAAAATATAGAAACGTCAGCACTATAGGTTGATGTTGTCCCAGTTGTGTTCTCTCTCACACACACAAATACAGGCCTTCGGGATTGTGGGGCTGTTTTAAGTAGATAGGCCTCTAGGCCTTTGTACTTTTTGGTTACATGTTTCTCTGTTGGTGGTTCATGCGCCCTTAGCATATATGTATATTTGTTTGTATGTTAGGTGCATGTGCTATGTCCATGTGTATTTCAGATACAAGCACAGTTTAATATCTTATTTTTTAAGAAGAAGTACAAATGGAAGTTCTGATATTTTCTGCTTGCACCCCAGGGTCTCATTTATTGTGCTCCTGGGATGTGAGCATCTCTCTTTGGGGCCTAAACTACAGCTGTTAGATATGTCAGTGCTTTGGGGGTCAGAGTGTCGGGAGCGAATACTATCTGCCTCTTCCCTAGACCAGCCCTGGGGGAGGAGTCCTCCTTCCCTCCGAGCTGGCTCTGCTGCAGCCCACCTCCTCACCCTCACCGGCTCTCCTGTGTAGGGAGGTTCTGGTGGGTGTGGCTGGGGAGTGATTGATCCCTGGGGTTTTTCCCAACATCTGTTTGCTAGGAGATGATATGACTTCACCCTGTGCAAGTTACACTAGGGGCATTCAAGAAACTTCCTTAATAATTGGCTTGTTTAGCAGTTTGAGGAAAAAAATAGGAAAGAATCAGATAGGAAAATCACACAGTGACAGTTTCTAGGCAGGCTTTTAGAACTGAGATTCATGAGCTCATTTCTTTATAAACCTTTGAACGTCCATTTTGTGGTTATCAGTACTCAGGGAAGGTAGTAAAAATCAGTACTGTTTTGGAATATGTGAACTTTTACTCTTTGATATTTTACCGAAATGTTTGTTAATTGTTTAGCAAAAATATGATGAAAAAGTATACATCTGAAATGTACAAGATATACTGGGTTGGATTAAAGAAAAACTGGGATGTCAAAAGTAATTTTAGTTCCTTTTGTGAAGCTTACTTGGTGTCCTATGACTAGTCTCTCGGACACGGAAAGGGCTGTGTGCTCTTGGTAATTGGGAAGCCCAGGGAGCCAGTTAAAGACACGATGTTGGGTTCCTGTGTGTTCTGCTGCTAAGACTTGAGCTCAGCCTTCCAATCAGGCCTAGATTGTCTGGTGGGGCCTTCCCTCTGCAATGATGCCCTCCAGGTGAGGGGAGAGCTCTACGCATGTGTTCGCCTTACCTGGCTGGGATGTAAGGAAGACTCTGAGCTTCCGCCTGCACCACCTCACCACTCATGCTCTCGTCACCATTAGTGGGGAAGTCACTGAAGACCAATGAGACAGTCTTCAGGATGACACCATGCACCTGTGTTGCGATGATTCCCAGGATGCCTTTTACCAGGGGTCTAGGGAAATCCTGCTTCTTCTTTCTTCTGTCTCACCCTCCCCTTGTATACCATCTTACTTTATGCTTTCCTTTTATAGCATCTAACCTTTCTTCTAGCCTTCCAGGATGAAGGGAAGTTCAGATTTTCCAAGTGCTGTCAATCCTTTTTAAAGAAGGTGCTTGATAAAGACCCTGTTCTCATGTTATTGGTGAATCGCACCCTTCTTGGTAGGATAGGGAGCTCAGGCTCCCTCGGAATTGTTTCTCATCAGTTCTTCCCTCTGTAGGTCTGAAGGACACACCAACTCAGGAAGACTGGCTGGTGAGTGTACTTCCTGAAGGATCCAGGGTTGGTGTAGACCCACTGATCATTCCTACAGGTGAGTAAGCCGAGGCCCTTCCAGTCCTTGGGTAAGGACTGGGGTTCTAGATGCCTCCCCACCCTTCTCATTTGCTTGTGGGTGGTGGAACCTTTGGGGGCTCAGCATGACATGAGGTCACAGCGGAGGTCAGGGTGAGGAGAAGAGTAGCAGAGGGCCGCAGGATCGCCTGTCAGAAGGTGCCAGGCTCTCAGAGCCCTGCTGCCTGTAGAGAGTGTTCAGTTCACAGTGAGACCACCAGTATTTCTCCTCAGATTACTGGAAGAAGATGGCCAAGGTCCTGAGAAGTGCTGGCCACCACCTCATTCCTGTCAAGGACAACCTTGTGGACAAGATCTGGACAGACCGCCCCGAGCGTCCCTGCAAACCGCTCATCACACTGGGCCTGGATTACACAGGTCAGAACCATGGCTGCGCCCGGCAGGCCCTGGCCATCGTCCCCTCCACCTGAACGAAGTCCTCTGGAGCCAGGTCATTGAGCCGACGGGAGGATTTGGCCCCGCTGTGGCACGTGGGGCATTGGGTGCAGCAGGAGTTCAGTTTGTTCCCACTGTTGGCACCTGTTTGGGCATAGTGTACTTTCACAGAGCTCTTCTGGGCAGACCCATGGGTGAGATGGCTGCTGAGATGGCTTTTTTTTTTTAACCACTCAGTTGCTCACTGCCCCTCTAATGCGTCTGATATTGGACACAGAGCCTAGAGGTTTCTAGATTCCATGTCCTTTTCTTCTGCCAGCACTTGTAGGTTTACCTTCCCAGGCCCCCTGCCCTCTATCTGTCCTCTACCATAGAGGCTTTGGGGAGTGGGTGGGTTTCTTTGGCTTGCATGATAGTGGTGAGTGAGGAGCAAGTTCTGTGAACAGTCTGTGGGAGATGAAAGTGTGGATTTATGGAAGAGTGAGGAGTGCAGAGGGAAAGGCCTGGAGGTGGGGCAGAGGGGAGTGAATCTTGCTGTCGAAACAGCAGAGGAGAGGTGGAGCGGGGATGTCTGGAATGCAGGCACCTTGCCCAGAGGGGTCCTGGGAAGAAAGCATTACAACCCAGACTCTCAGCCAAGTTTTAAGCAGAATTCCTGAGCTGACCTTCACAGCAGCGTTTGGCTGTGGGAACACCCCCAGCTTGCTTCCTTGTGACACTCTCACCAGAGGGTATTGCAGACCCGGGAGGGGGATGGGTCCAGTGAGGGGCCCTGGGTCAGCTAAACATTGTCCATCAGCATGCTTGGGATTCTGTTGAGCTGAAGGAGAGGCTCTGACCTGTTCCTTACAGAGCAGGGAGAGCAGGTTTGGCTGGTGAGACTTCGGGTCAGCAGACACTTGGGTGCCCACCATGTGCAGAGCACTGCCAGGTGCTGTGTGCATGGGACAGATGTCTGCCCTGCCCACAGGTGGCCGTACCGTGGGGCACAAGTGCTGTCTCCTGTCAGCGGGTGGTGGTGGTGGTGGGGTGAGCGTCTCTGGGGCCCACAGGAGTAGCAGGGAGTCGCCGGCTGAGTCTGACAATGCATGTGTGATTTGGAAGTGGTAGTCACACTGAAACAGGCTGTGGAGAATTCCTAGATCTTAGCACTGAAATGCAGGTCTTGAGGCTCTAGAAATGTAAGGTAGAGGGTGATACTTGCCTGACCTCTAAAGATTCAGTGAGTTCTCTCTGCTGGTTAGTGTCTTAAAGTTCCCTGTGCTTCCTCTATGGCAGCAGTCTTTATACAGAAGTGTAACTAATTGCTGGTTTAATTGTCTGTCTTCCCTTCCAGATTGTAAGCCCCATGAAGGCAGGGACTGCATGTAGCTCAGAACTGTAACTGCAGTGACCAGCATTGTATCTGCAGATATTGATGCCTGGGCAGAAGAGACATTTCATAGACATTTGTTGGATGAACAAATAGATTAATTTTGTTGTGAGGCAGTCCGGGCTCTGGACAGTCAACTAGCTTAGACGGAGTCACTTCTCTTGTATGGGATTGGTATCCAGGCATTCTGTCCGCTCAGATAACATGCTCCCTGGGATGTGGTGCTGGTTAAGAATGTTTGGAGTGGGTTCTTTCACTTGGCTCTCACCCGTCCCCGGGACCAGACCAGGGGCTGGAGTGGCAAGTGTGTTTGTTTCTTGCAGGCATCTCCTGGAAGGACAAGGTTGCAGACCTTCGGTTGAAAATGGCTGAGAGGAACGTCGTGTGGTTTGTGGTCACTGCCCTGGATGAGATTGCGTGTGAGTGCTCTGGTTTCACTGTTGGGTCGTGTTAACCAGTCTGTCAGTTGGTTCTCTGGGAATCTGTGTTCACAGAATTCAGTTTTCTGTGTAGTCAGAGAATAAGCAAAAGACCGTCACCAGTGGGTACGTGGCATGCCAAGTGGGATGGAGAAGGGATTATTGGATGGACAATTACAGGGAGTTGGGGAGGAGACTGTTGTTGGTCTGGAGCAGTAATACAGCCAGGCGCTGATGTTACATCTGTGGTGGTGTCCCCGTCTGGCCAGTCTACTCAGTACTGTGGCACCTCTGAGGAGGGGCACTGTCTCCAAACTTTTTGTCTGTCAAAATTCGTTTGTTTCTATAGGTATGGAAGGGAGCTCATAGGAGATATTTTTTTCTTTATACTTCTCCTGTATTTCCCAGATTCTTCACAATGAGGATGTTCTAGAAATATTTCTACTTCAGAAAACTCAGGAGCTGAAAGTTCACCAAACATTTTGGTACAATAGCAGTTTTTTAATCTTTAGATCTTAAACTATCCTCATGGAATTGTTCAGTGCCTTCTAGAACCTGAATGAATAAGGTTAAACCTTCTTTTTCTATTTTCTGACTGGGTTTGTCCCAAGGTACCTGAGAAGAGGCACTGCCTTATCTTTTTATTTTCTCACTAGAGAAAGATGGCTTACTGCACAGTCTCTAATCCCTAGCCCCCAAACTGTCATGTGTGTCAGTGATTTATATCCTTGATTAACTTAATCACATCAACATCAGAGAAAATAACATATGAAGCTAATTTCTCCCTTTGATTATTTAAATATCCCCCGTTTTCATTGTGGAAAATGTGGGACGTGCAGAGCAAGTAGAAAAAAAAAAAGTCACCTATAATCTTGCACAGAATCAGTTAACATTTCTGTGCATGTATAATTTTGTAACTTGATTTTTTCCACTGTATTTACTCTAAGTATATATAAACATAATTTTAAGTGAATATTAAATATCCCATCATATGGTTATAGTGCAATTTACTTAACCATTCCTCTCAGGATGACCTTTGAGTTATTTCCACTTTTTCTTATGATTGTATTACAGGACTGCCATCAAAGTCTTGGTGCATCACAATCTGTGTCTTAGTTTCTGATCATTTTCTTTCAGCTTTTGGTTGACTTTGGAGGTGGTGTTATGGGCTGGAGGGTGTGTGCACGGTAGGGTGTTTGACGGTATTGCCATGTACCTGCCAGAGAGGTTGCACCCCTCTTGCCACACTCTCACCAATCCCAGGTACTATCATTTAAAGAGTGCTACTTGGGTTTGATGGGTAAAACATGTTGCCTCCATGCTGTACTTCAAGAAGCCATGGTTTTAAAATAGAGGCAGTGCGTTTTATACCAGGGTCTTTTTTGCACTCCGATTCTCCGGAGAGCAAGTGTTAGGCTGCGGGAGGTCCTGGGACGAGAGCTGTGCTTAGCGCCGGCCCCTCTAGTTTCTCCAGCACGCAGTGACCTCACCAGGGCCCTGACACTGGCCAGGCAGGCCCTCCACCCAGCCGCGGTTCCGGGTGGGCCGCCGGCTCGGGTTTCATTCATGGGCCGAGAGCCCCACTGACTCACTGCTTTTGTTCCTCTGCTGGGAAGCTCCGCCTCCCTGGGGCTCCTGACCCTCGCACAGAGGGCGCATCTGGCCTCCCTGGTGGGTGGCTCTCTGTTTCTCTACCCTCAGTCTCTTGCCACAGAAGGGAGCGAGTCCTTGGCTCCCGCCCCTGTACTTGGGAGTGCCAGAGGTTTTTCTGTGGCAAGGCCAGGCCTGGCGGGTCACCGCCCGGTGGACCATTTCAACTCTTTGTCTGGAGGGCAATTCCCGGGTGTTCTAACTAATAACTCTTTCCATTCCCTTCTCGGGATGGTGATGTGGCAGCGAAAGACGCAGTTCTGGTGCCCTCTTTTGGTGGATGTGTGCAACTGCAGCTCAGCGGCGAGACAGGAAGAAAGGGAGGCGCCCGGCCTCTGAGAGGTCCGCCGGCCCTTCCCGGCCAGTGGAAGCGCTCTCTGCATCCTCCCAGCTGCCCCTTAACTCACAGTCGGGCGGGTGACAGGAATTTTTTTTTTTCTTCCAGGGCTATTCAATCTCCGAGGATCAGACGTAGAGCACAATCCTGTATTTTTCTCCTATGCAATCTTAGGACTAGAGACGATCATGTGAGTGTTGGCCCCGCACCTGGAGGTCTTCCCCACAGCTCTTCCGAGCCCCAGTCCGTCCTCCTGGCTCGGGGCCCACCCGTCTCAGCCTCACGTGCACCAGGGACCTGCTTTTCTCCTGCCCTTTCCTGCCTCCCTTTCCCTTCTGCCTTCCTTAACAATAGGTGTTCATTTATATCCTGCCTCTCTCATAATCCTGAAAATGATTGGTAGTACTAGAAGATAAAAAAGTTAAGTGTCGAGGACATCAGAACAAAACCAGAGAGAGTGAGCTTAGTTCACAGAATCCCTGCTGCAAATACTTGTTCAGGCCGCACATTGGACTCTTAGCTGCCAAGGCAGAGGGGGATATGGACTTTGTTATACAGTCCTGGGTCCACAATGCAAATAGAGCTCATCATTCAGGAGGTCAGAAGTGACGCAGGAACAACCCCTGAGTCGTGCCTCGTTGAATTATCTTTTACACTGCTGCTTGCGGCCTTCCTGCCATTGCTTTTCTTGTTTGAGTGGCTTTCTGCATTCAGACATGTTTGAGTGCCTGTTATGAGGTAGAGTCTCCACTAGGTATTGGGGTGAATGAGGCAGACAGGGTTCTGGGTTAGAGTTGGGGATTCTGATGCATAGTTGGCACTCACTTGTCAGTGGGGCAGGTATGGATGTTATCGGAGGGGCCTGACCTGATCAGAGGAGACAGTAATATTGAGACAGAGATTCAGGGTACTTGGGAGTTAGCTCGGTGAGTAGGAAATGAGGAGGAAGAGAAACAGGTGATCTAAGCCGGGGAGCAGCACTCTCAGAGACTTTGGACAGGAGAGAGTGAAGGATCCAGGCTGGTTCAGTGTGGTTGGAACCTGGAGTGGGAGATGGCAGGTAGGCAGGGCCACATAAGTAAGGCCTTGTGAGTCAGGTTCAGGAGCTTGGGCCCTTGTCCTAAGGATGCTATGAGTTTCCACAGGGCACCACATGGTCAGGCTTGTAAATCATAGAGAATTTATGATTGGAGTGAAATTATGGGGTGGATTATGATTATTGAAAAATAGGGTGGATAGGAAAGACTGGTGGCAGGGAGACCAGTTAGGAGGCCATGGCACTAATCCATGAGAGATGGTAGTGGTTAGCCCTAACCCTAACCTGGGCAGCAAGTGGGCAAGGCTACAGTGAAAGCTGGAGAGGTTTGAGGGGTGCTTAGGCTGTAAGTTCAAAGATCTCCATGAAGGAGGGAGAGAGGGGCATCAGGGAGGATAGTGCCCAGGTCCTGGCTTGGGGGACAGGGTGGAAGGGAGCATGCATGGGCAGGGAGCACAGTTGGGGAGCAGGGTTTGGGAAGGGCAGGAGGGAAGAGAAGCTGCTCATTTGGGATGCTGGAAGGTAGAGCCTGCGTCCTGTGTGTGGGTCTGTGTTCTCGGCCTCTGACTCCTGTGCCCACCTTTCCCGTCACCTCTCCTCTGGCCCCTCCGCAGGCTCTTCATTGACGGTGACCGCATAGACGCCCCCATTGTGAAGGAACACCTGTTGCTTGACTTGGGCCTGGAAGCCGAGTACAGAATCCAGGTGCTTCCGTACACGTCCATCCTGAGCGAGCTCAAGATCCTGTGTGCCAGCCTCTCCCCAAGGGAGAAGGTTTGGGTCAGTGACAAGGCCAGCTATGCTGTGAGCGAGGCCATCCCCAAGGTTGGTAGCCCCAGAGCCGATCAAAACCTACCACGCTGGCCACCAGGCTGGTCCTGGCATCGGGGCACTTCTCTTTGAAGCAGAGTTTGGTTGTTCAGGCAGATTTCCAGGACTGGGTGTCATATCAGAGGTGTCGTCCCCTCAATGAGCCGTTTGGGCTCTTAGAACCCAGTGAGTCCTGTGTTTTCCAAATGTGGCATGAGAGATGCCTTTAGGTGGTACACATTCATTCTTAGGTTTATTTAAATGTATCTATTTTAAAAGCATTTTAACAGATTTAAAGAATAAACCAGTTGTCACCAGTGGGGAGAGGGAAAGGAGATGGGGCAAGATTGGGGTACCAGATTCAGAGGTACAAACTACTATGTGTAAAAAACATAAGCTACAGGGATATATTGTACAGCACAGGGAATTTAGCCAATATTTTATAATAACTTTAAATGGAGTCTAACCTTTAAAAATTGTGAATCACTGTATTATACATCTAAGACGTATATTATGTATCAACTATACTTCAATTAAAAACATTTTAGTGTGTAGTTGAAAAAAATATAATTAGCATACGAGACCATGTATTATAAAAATTATTTCTTAAGAAAGAGTTGATTTCAATAGACTGTTGATTCAAAGATCATCTAAAGAAGAGTCTTAAGTAAATAAGGGTCCAGCGAGTAGGCAACCCGGATAAGCCCTGTGCAGATGGTGTGAGAGTGTCTGAAGTTCGGGAAACACTACTCTGTATCTGCCTCCCCCACCATATTTTATAGTTAAGGAGACCTGAGGCCCAGGGAGGCTTAGAGAGTTGGGGATTTATCAAAGGTCAAATGGTAGTGGTAGTGATGCCCTTGACCGAACGCCTGCTGGGTGGTGCTAATCTGCTGACGCGTGCCCCGTCATTTTCACTGAGGCCTGGGGCAGGAGTCCATGCCGCCTTAGCTGAGCCTTTTTGATTGTCCTGCTCTGGGCCTCTGGCTGCTGAGTGGCCTTTGGCAAAGCCAGCAATGTCCCGTCTCCTCCACTAAGCAGGGGCCATCCTGGGTGGGGTCCAGGCCTGACCGTCTAGTCCTGTTTTCCCATTGCACCCCTGTCCCTGTCACCCTGTGTGATGGAGTTACTCAGAGCGCTACTTCCGTGGGGGTCATGCCTGCCTTGTTTCATGAGGGGCAGGTATGCAAGAGAGAGAGAACAAGGAGTGTGGAAAGAGGGAGCCCTTTGAGAAGTTCGGTGCGGAATTATTTCCTGCTCCCTCTCACACAGGGCTGGATTCTGACTTGCTCTCAGTTGGGAAGGCTCTTCCCCAGCCCTTTAAGACCCGACTGTTAGTGGTAGCTGATCCCCGAGCATGAGGTGGGAAGGAACAGGAGCTCCCTTGCCCCTTCATCGGTCACATGCATCCCCAGACAGTGGAGAAAGGCCTCCTTTTTGCAGCCAGAGAGGGCTTATTTCGGTCAAGCTTTGATCCCTTGGTGAACCCTGACCATGACCATGGAGGTCTGAAAAGCAGCATCTTGCTGCTGGCTGGCAGCCAGCTATCTCAGAGAGCCAAGGGGGTGGGGGAGAGACGAGAAATAGCTTGTTTGATGTACTTTATCTTTTTGGATGAGCTCAAGCCCCTTTCACCAGCGCTCAGAGTCACCACCCAAAAGGGGTAGGTCTTTGGGCTCCAGGGGACAGCAGGGAGGGCCTGAGTGGGAGCGCTCTGTGATTTGTCTAAAGTGAGGAGTCCTGGCTGGAGGGGTGATCCTGGTCTGGGGTGAGTGAGTCCCACACTACTGCCTCCCGCCCCAGGATCGTCGCTGCTGTATGCCTTACACCCCCATCTGCATCGCCAAAGCTGTGAAGAATTCTACTGAATCAGAAGGCATGAGGCGAGCTCACGTGAGTAAAGCAGCCTGTGCAGAAGAGGGGGTGTGTGGTGGTCAGAAGGCCCAGCTCCCTTACCTGTTGTGTGGCTTTGACCCTGGCGCAGGTGGGAACCTCTCTGAGCCTTCCAGAGTTCATGAGAGAATGAAATAAAATACTGGATGGGTCATGGGAATCGCCGGCATGGAAAGCCCTGACTGCTGGTGGTGCGTGGTCCTCTACATTAGGGCCGGGCCTTGGATCTGCCCATCTGATTTTCAGTCATAACTTAAAAAAATGTCTCTATTATTTGCACAGATTAAAGATGCCGTTGCCTTATGTGAACTCTTTAACTGGCTGGAAAAAGAGGTTGGTTCTTAGTCTTTGTTTAACACATGGACAAAGATTATTCAGAAATTATCTACATGTGATTCTAACTGTGACTCTGGTTAACCATGAGGTCTAAGATCTTGATCTAATTTTAGTACCCCTTTTTAAGAGTTCTTTGTGGAAATTTGTTGTGTGTGTATTTAAAAACTGTAGAAAACAGTAACAAAGATGAAGAAAGAAATTCCTTAACAGAATGGATCCTTTCTGGGTTAAGGAATTGTCTTGTAATGAAGTGGACTTTCATTATAAGGAAAAATGACTTACAGGCAAGCTGATTGTATTGAGAGAAAAAAGATCTTTGTGTATATTCTGAACTTTAAGGCATAAACCTTTTTATATTAAATTGATTCTTAGTCATTAGTTTCTTGCCTTTTCACTCCTTGTAGCTGATAGGAAGGTGATTTCTTTGTGCTCTTATTAAACGGTATCATATTCCCTTTAGATATTTTATGAGCAACTCTTTGAAAGTAGCTTACATTGGGAGAAGAAAATACTTTGATTCCCACAAATTTTTCCCGTCTGGCAATTGTTCATTTGTGTATGTCATTTTTTGTTTTTTTCAGCATAGGTCATTTTTGCGTCTCTCACTGTACCGCTATCATTTTGTATTCTGTTTTATTCACTTAGGATCATAGTGTGAGCATTTCCCATTTTCTTTGAGATTTAAAAAAAATGATCCAAGTGGGGGCTGTGTTTAGTGGCTAGGCTGCTTTATTTACCCATTCCTCCTATTTTCAAATGTTAAGAGTGTTTTTTGAATTTTTTTTTTTTTTGCAATTACCAAGGACCTTGTAATAATATCTTTGCATTTATCTTTATTCAGAATCTTTTTCTTAGGATATTGTAGGTGGGAATGCTTTTGAATTTTTGAATTTAGGTTAAATTTGGGGACGTTTGAGGATATAATACTGAGGGAAATAGTTGAGTGAAAAATTAAATGGATAGAAGTCCTTTTACTTTTAGATAACTTTGGTAAGAGCCTTTGGGAATTCCCTACTTGTTGAAGATGAGACATAATCTGTGTCCTGTAGGTTGGACAGTTGGAACATGGGGATTGAGGAAAAAGTAAGCTTTTAATGTACTCCTTATAACAGAGGAGCCTAGCAGCCTACAGTCTGTGGGATCGCAAAGAGTCAGACACGACCGAGCAACTAACACTTTTCATACTATGTGGGAGACCCGTGAATTTATCACACCCCAGTGGTTTATAAGCAACTTCCTCGTAGGTGCCCAAAGGTGGTGTGACAGAGATCTCAGCCGCCAACAAAGCTGAGGAATTCCGCAGGTAAGGATCCCTCTGGGGGGAGCCCTGTGAGTCCTGTGTGCCTGTCCTTGGCAGATTCAATGAAGCTGGGCGGGGCCCTGATTGCTGGCACAGTAAGAACCCTTAGGCCGCTCTGCCCTGTGTGTGTCTTTCTGTTGCAGGCAGCAGGCCGACTTTGTGGACCTGAGCTTCCCAACCATTTCCAGTACGGGACCCAATGGCGCCGTCATTCACTACGCGTAAGGCACGCGGAGGAGCACGCTGCCTGGCTTGGCTGCTGCTTCTGCACAGGAGCCTGAGCAGGGGAGAGACATTGTTTTATCGAAGGCCCCTGTGCCCACCTCCCTGTGTCTGTTGAGATCGTTCTTATGTGTGAAATACGATCTTTGAGGTCTTCTTGTCTCTCAGTCCGAAGCCTCTGCCTTTTGGGAGCGACTCTTTGGCACCGATGTTGCCCATCAACATTGTCCATGATGTAGTCAAACGGGTCATCCCTCTTTCCTTTGAGACTGCAGTATCTGTCGTCATAATCCCCGAATCTTAATAGTTGGAAGTTTTAGTGTTTTTCTTTTCTGACTGCGGCAGCCTTCTTGATGCACTAGTCCAAACGTCTTGTGAGCTCCATGACCTCCATTCCAAACAAACTTAGCACTAGGTTGTGGAGCACCCTGTTATGTTTAAGGAGATAATCTGTACCCTCTCTTTCCTCCCCAGCATATGGGGATTTGTACCACACGAGCCCGTGGATCCACAGAGCCAAGCTTCCTTCCACTGTGAGGCCAGGAGGGCACTGATGAATCTGGGGGAGCTAGACCCACCTGTGGAGGTGGTGGGAAATGGAACTAGGCTTCTTGCATGGGCTCCAGCTTCAGCTTCGCCTGGCTCACATGGTTTTGCCTTGTGTGGGGTATCTTGAGTTCTTTGCTTCCCATCTGTGATGGGCATCGTGATGGAGCACTCTGGCTGTCTCACTGTGCTGTACTTGGGCACAAGTCCCCCCTCCACCTTTTTTACTAATCGCTTTTAGAGTTTTTAGTCTTGGGACAAATTTTGAAGCTACTGTGTGGGAGACAGCCACGGATGTGACTGTATAGTTCTCTCATATTAATGCTTCTGTTTCAACATTAAACTATCAAAAGGACTTGAGTTCTTGTCTTATATTTAGCACAGGTGATGAATTTCCTGGCTGGATACGACCCTAGAAGTAAAAATAAAAATTTTCAGTCCAAGTGGGGAGAATCTCACTTTTCTTTTGTGCTTTTTCATTGTGGCTGTTGGAAGCCTGTTGAGAAACAGGGTGCTGGGCCCGTATCTGGTAGTCTTTTCTAGTCATTGGGAATGAGTGTCTACTGGCCCCCTTCCTGCCTATGAATGAAGCAGAACCTCTGTGAGACCCTCTCTGCACTGCAGAGCAGAGACTTGGAATGCTCACATCCTGTCTAGCTTTTCCCAGTGCAGTGTATTGTCTGGAAGGAGATACGGAGGAATCAAGCTACTTTAAAAAATTCCTCACGTTCATTTGAAAATATTGCTCTAGTGTAAAAGCATCATGATCTACTCCTTTCCCCAGCAAAAGTCCCTTTAGTCTTTCTCCCAAAGTGAGACGCTTACCTTCTGCCCCTCTGGTGGTCTAGGAAGCAAGTGGGAGGCTCCTGGTGGGGTTAGGGCTGAGGGAGAAAAGTGGAGGCTTGAGGCAGGGGACTGAACCATCACCACCCCTCCCCAAATAAAGACAAATGCTCTCTCCTCATTTCCCAGCTTGGTCCTCTTGCTTCTTTTGATTATTATTTTTGTAATTTTTACAGTATCTCATGAACACTTATTTTGTTCTAGTCACAAATGGAGGTAGATATAAAGACATGTTATTCTTCCTTCTCTTGCGCTCCTTATCTAGTTGGGGAGATAGGTTGACTAGTCTTTGAGTAGAAGGTTAATATTACTTGCAATAATTAACCTATTGGATAACTTGGGTTTGATATAATTTCAGGCTTACATAAGTTATTAGAATAGTACAAAGAACTCTTGTATTCCCTCCTCCCAGATTCAGGAAGCATTTACATTTGTGGAATAATTAATTTGTAATTAATTTTCTTAGGCCGGTCCCTGAGACGAATAGGACCTTGTCTCTGGATGAGGTGTACCTCATTGACTCGGGTGCTCAATACAAGTAAGTGAATTGCGGCTACTGGAGAGCCTGACTCCGCTGTCAGGGCAGTTGAGTAGGTGGACAGGCCAGGCTCCAGCCGAGATCTCTCAGCAGGTCGTCTCATTCTGCGCCGGCCACTGATGGAATTGTTCCCATGTCTTGTCCTTTTCTTCACCCTTTGTTGAAATAGCCCAGTTGTGATTCTGTTCCCACAAAAGACTGTTTGGTAGAAATGTTTAGTCCTTGGCTGGAAGCTGTTAAATACTAAATAAATAACTGAAAGTAGGCTTTTAGAACCATTGGGAAGTCTTCTGCCCCAGCCCATAAACCACCTGCCAGTTCCCCAACTTGCAGTGACCTCAGGGCCTTGGGGAGTGAGGGCTTAAATTTTGAAAGGATGAATGAGAAATGAGGGTCATCCCTGAATTTCTGAATTTCTTTCTTCATGCCTTGCTGCTTTCACAGTCATCAACTAGAATAGTTTCTCAGAGAACCCAAGATTTGATTGGGTCTTGAGGTGGAACCCACGAGGAGGAGCTGGAATAGGTGTTGTCTGCCTTGAGAGAGCATGAGCCAGGCCTTTTAATCTTCCATTTTCCAGTGCAGCTGGGACTTTGCCTGGTAGAGAATCTTGTTATTAAATGAGCTCAGCCAAGTATGTGAAAGCCACAATCTAGCCTGGGAAGTATGGGTTGGTGTTAATAACAGCCTAGAGCTAAGAGTATTGAGATTACTTGGGTAATGGTGTAACTCTGGGTCACTTCTACATTTTAGCAGGATTCTAGAAGCTATCCTTTCTCTGTTGGGGGTGGATTGGGGTGTTCTAAAAGATACATTTGGGTATTTTTAGGTTCTAGTAAACTGCTTGCCATCCTGACAGGAGGAATTGGAATTTGACCTTCTTTTGCCAGAAGGTCCACTTTCATTCATAACCCCAGGAATGGTGTCTTCCATGAAACAGTCCTCACATTGTAGACTATGAGTGTGTGTGTGTCAAGGCCTGACTGAGTTCACTCCCACTGCACTGGGCCATCCTTGCTTTCACACTGTGTCTCATTTTATTTTTTATAATAACTTTATTGAAATATAATTCAAGTTATTAAAGTGTACAATTGATGATTTTTAGTTTGTTCACAGAGTTTGCAACTATCACCATCATCAATTTTAGAGTATTTTCATCACCCCCCCAAAAAAGAAACACTATTCCCGTTGGCAGTCACTTTCCATCTTCCCCTAGTCAGGGAACCACTAATGTACTTTAGTCTGTATGTAATTGCCTGTTCTGGACATTTCATATTAATGGAATTATATAATATTAATATATGGTGTCAGTTCTGACTTCTGTCACTTAGCATAATGTGTTCAAGGATCATCCACACTGTAGCATGCATCAGTACTTCATTCCTTTTTATTGTTGAATACTGTCTCATTGTATGTATGTACCACATTTTGTTTACTCATCAGTTGTTGGACATTCAGGTTGTTCCTATGTTTGGGATATGAAGAGTAATGCTGCTGTGAACATTAGTGTACGTGTGTTTGTGTGGACGTTCTCAGTTCTCTCGGGGGTTTACTCGGGGGAGTAGAAGTGCTGGGTCATAAGGTCACCCCGTGTTTAAGAAACCTTTTATGAACCTGCAAACTGTTTTCCAAAGTGGCTGTACTATTTCCCCGAACACCAGTCGCTGCATGAGGGTTCAATTTTCTACACATCATCACCTGTCTCGTATTTGAGGAAGAGCTTCTTTGGAGTGAACACTAACTTGCTCTTTCTTTTGGGCAGGGATGGAACCACAGATGTCACTCGCACCATGCATTTTGGAACTCCTACGGCTTATGAGAAGGTAAGAGAATGCTCAAGAGGCCCTCTGCTTTCTCTGACTGTTCCCTCTTGTGAAAAGGGATTGTATAAATAAGTAAAAGTTACATGTGGGACAGTAAAAGAGCTCATTACTGTGGAGTCAGGCTTATCTGCTTTATGACATCCATTTAATTGATTATTGGAAAGATTTTAAGAACATTCTGTCTGCTAAGGTCAGGCTCAGATTTAAGTTTAAACAACTTTGGCCTTCTTTGGGGAAGGGAGCAAGGTAGTGAATTTTTTTTTTTTTTTATGAACAGTGTCTAGATTTGATTCTGAAAGCTACCCTCCTTTTTTCAATTTCAGTGTTCCTATTTATAGGCTTAGCCCTCTAGGAACCCTCTGAAATGACATGCACTGCTTGGTGTCTGGGCTGTCCGGCATACAACTGTAAGGTAGAGAGATGTGTGCTCGGAGTCTAGACACTGGGTTTCAGATCTCTGCTGTTCACAGTCTCCATGACCTTGATACTTGACACTTAGACCATCCATAAAAATGAGGGTAGAGTACTCACCTCCAAGGCTGGCTGGGAAGGTTCTGTGAGCCCAGCTGGTTCCTGGATCATAGCCACTGCTTGGCAAATACTGGTTGAATCTGAGTCTCTCTTTTCCCTGGGAGCTCCTTCAGGAAGCTTGTCCCGGGAGGAGGGCTCTGTGGGATGCAGCAGGGCATGTTTCCCAGTGCCAGTCCCTCATGTCCTTCATTAGTTGGCACCGGCACCTTGGACGAGTTTGACCTTGGGTCCAGATGCCTTTAGTTTGGGGCTTCCTTGGTGGCTTAGACGGTAAAGGATCTGCATGCAGTGCAGGAGACCTGGGTTTGATCCCTGGGTCAGAAACATCCCCTGGAGAAGGGAGTGGCTACCCACTCTAGCATTCTTGCTTGGAAAATTCCATGGACAGTGGAGACACGGAGTCACAAAGGGTCAGACACGACTGGGTGACTAATGCACACACCCCTTCGGTGTGTGTATTACCAGGGGTGTGTAGAACACACCGCTTCCTGCGCTGTGTTCAGTCTGGACCAGATTGGACAGTGAGCGGTTTAGTGCTGACTCTGCACCTTACTGGCAAGCCACTACCCATCCAAACAGCACTTTTCTTGTCTGGGCGGTAAGGACTAAACCCTGAGTAGAGATGGTGACGAGGGGCACAGAGGAGTAGCAAGACCACCTGGCTCCAAGGCCAGATGCTGCCACTTACGAACTGTGTGGCCTGGCATGTTAATTACTTCATTCCCCTGTAAGGTGAGAGTGGCAGGAGTGCCTCCATCATGAAGTGTGGGCTTAAGACATGCAGTGCTTAATATTGTGCTTGGCACCGAGGGGTAGTTTGACAGTGTTAGCTAGTGTCATCAGTACTTCTTACTACTTTTTCTGTCTTTCTGAGGCTCTGATGGCAGAGAGTTCATTTCAAGGGAAAGACTAGTGGGGTCATCTCTTGGACAGTTCTCTTTTGCTAAATCAAATTTCCAGATTTTCTAGAAAATTGGTCCCAAGGCCAGGTTTTTTTTTCCCACTGGTTCTCCTGTTCCCCTGATTTTCTCTGTGGTATTGCTATAAAACCTTAAGAGGCAAGGTTTTCCGAACTACCTGAAAACTACAAGATGAAAGCATCTGTGCCTGTCCTGAACATGCCCTCTGGGTTTTTCTTTGGCAGGAATGCTTCACATATGTTCTCAAGGGCCACATAGCTGTGAGCGCAGCTGTTTTCCCGACTGGAACCAAAGGTAGGTGGTGCCTTCTGTCACATGGCGGGCTGTATCTTTTTCAGGCATCAAGCGTGTCTAAATTTGGGTGAAAACACATGTCCTCCCCTTGCCAGAACAGCCCCCAGACCACTCCAGGCCCAGCCTGGGCAAGTGGGGCTGCTGCTCGACTGGGCAGAGAGGGCCTCCAGGGAGTCAGACTTAGGATCGGGCTCAGGGCCAGCTGTCCCTCCCTCCTGACCACTTGTGCTGGGTGACCTTGGGTGGGTGGCTCTCAGGAGAGGGCAGTGAGGCATGAAGGCCCCGGGGGTCCTGGTGCAGCCTCCTGTCTGCCCCGGGTGTTGGGCCAGCGCTCCTTTTAGGACTCGTGTTGGGATTTATTTTACTGGGAGCCTGACTTTTGAGGACTAGACCTTGTTGCCTGAGGACTGGTGGGTGGGCCACTGCATGGGAAGTTGATAAGACCCAGGCCTCGAATCTGCTTAGACTGCCCTGGCACTCATTTCCCCGGGCACCACTGTCCTCATGCTTGCAGTCTGGTTGGGATCTCATCTCGTAGTTCCGAAACCGTAGGGTTCCAGCACTGGGAAGGGATCGTTCGTGTCATCTCCCGCAGCCTTCACCTGCTGCTGGTGGCGTCCCTGACCGGCACCCTCCAGCTGCAGACTGAGCTCCAGCTGGTCGGGGCGCCGTCCTGCTCAGGAGCTCTGGTTGTCAGAAAGCTCTTTGTGCTGGCCTGAGACCTGAGTCCTCCAGTAACTTTTACCAGCTCACTTCTGTTCCATCTCTGGAGCCACACCTGTCGCATCTAATCTCCGAAGTGCTTTGCCGGTTGGAAAGTGCTGTACCGATGCCCAAGTGGCCCTTTGTGTCTTTCAGGCCACCTCCTTGATTCCTTTGCCCGCTCTGCCTTATGGGGTTCTGGCCTGGATTACCTGCACGGAACGGGGCATGGCGTCGGGTCTTTTCTGAATGTTCATGAGGGTCCATGTGGCATCAGTTACAAAACGTTCTCTGATGAGCCCTTGGAGGCCGGCATGATCGTCACTGATGGTAGGTGTCCCTCACCTAGAGGCTGCGTGTGGATCCTCTGCCTTTTTGAAAGCCCTGTGTTGTTTCTTATATTTTAATTATTATAAAGTAAATTGGAAAAAATTTGCCCCTTCCATCTCCCTCATGGCTGAGATGGTAAAGAATCTGCCTGCAATGCAGGAGACCTGGGTTCTATCCCTGGGTTGGGAAGATGTCCCGGAGAAGGGAATAGCAACCCTCTCCAGGATTCTTGCTTGGAGAATTCCATGAACAGAGGAGCATGGTGGGCTGCATACAGTTCACGAGGTCACAAAGAGTCAGGCCCAACTGAATGACTAACACTTTGACTTCCCGTCACTTTGAATTAGACAACAACATTCTTTGATTGTAAAAGTGATAAATATTCATTGTAGAAAATGTGAGACTGTGGAATGATACAGAAGAAAATGAAAATCATTTGTAATCCAGCCACCCAGGGGAAACACAACCTAACATTTGGATATGTTAACTTCTTGTTTCTTTATATATGTGCATACCTTTTTTAGTATCATTGAAATTACACTGGACATATGGTCTGTATTCTGCTTTCTTACCTAATATGTCCCTATGTCATTACCAAATCTTGGTGAGCATATTTTAACACCCGCATCATTGTGTCTTATGGCTCCGCCCCATACTTTTGTTTGGCGGATTTTCTGTTATTTTACTCCCTACCCTGCAGCCAGTTCTCAGGAATTCCAAGCCTTTCTCTCTGTGGACCTCTAGATAGAAGTGCCTCATGGGAAGAGGTGTATCTGGGCTCTGGATTGAGTGGCCCTTCCTCTGATTCTCCTTCGGAGAAGCATAGTTGTCCCATGAGTGAGAGCCTCTCTGTGCGTGTCTTCCCTGCAGGCTGCTCCTCATTCAGGGTTTGGTTTGTTTCAGAGCCAGGGTATTATGAAGACGGGGCTTTTGGAATTCGCATTGAGAATGTTGTTCTAGTGGTGCCTGTTAAGACCAAGGTGAGTAATGATGTATTTATTTTCTTCTAAAAAGTCCCTTATTCCTTAATGGGGGAAGATGAGGACTTTTGTCCTCAAACCAAGAGCATGCCATTCTGGGGCCAGAATGGAGTCTCCTTCCCTTGGTATTGGGGTCTTTCCTGGAATTCGTTCTCTTCTGCAAAGCTAGAAAGAAAATGTTGAGTGGATGGGGTCCCTGAACGGGACCTCAGGGAGCCTCGGGCAGGCCTCTGCCTCATGTAACTTGGGTCTCTGAGTTTACTGGAGGCAGGGTCGTGTCATGAAACCTTCACTGTGTGTGTGTGGGCATGGAGAGGGGAGGGTGGGGGTTGCTTGTTTAAAAGCTCCCTCCAGATGTTGAAACCGAATCTCCAGGGCTGGGACCTGGGAACTATTTTCAACAAATGCCCCAGATGATTTTTATCAGGTAAAACTGAGGAAGCCTGAGCTAGCCGCTGGGTCAGGTACCACAGATGGGCGATAAGACAGGTGAGGTGCCCTCTCCCCATCACATTACCAAGAGGAGGCAGGTTTTTGGTGCTGGGCTTTACCTCCAAGACCTGTTTGCTCCTCCTCCACAGCTAGAGGGAAGTGACTGCCTATGCCTGCAGGGAGGCTGGCCGCCGGGGTCTCCTCTCTGCTTGCATGCTGACGTCCCTGGAGCGGCCTCGCCTTTCCCCATCCCACAGAACCTGCCAGGAAGAGAGACCCAGCATGGCCCGTGTGCCCTGCCGTCCCATGCCTCGTGGACAGACCTCTTAACGTCACCTGAGGGGCCTGGCTGGGGCAAGACAGGCTGCGTACTTGATGTTAAAAAAAACAAAACAAAATGATCTGCTGGGGACCTACAGCTTAGTAGAGGCTTGAGAACCAAACCAGAGATGTGCCTGCTTCTAGATACCCCGGCCCCTGCCATGCCTCCTCCCCATGTCAGCAGACAGGAGTCTTGTGCACCTGCTGGGCAGGTCCTCAGCACTCTGCCTGGCCTTTCCTGAGGGCGCAGGCTGTGGTCTGCACAGCGGAGCAGCTCTTGGAAAGTGGTCCTGCCCTGTTCCTGTCTCTTTCATCTGTTAGAAATGGTGACCGGCTAACCACTCTTGATTTCTCGCTACACCTGGCTGAGGGGCGGTCATGTTTGCGGGTGGGTCATTGTGGTGAAGAGGAGTAAACGCTCCTATTGTCTTCCCTCTTCCGTAGTATAACTTCAACAACCGGGGAAGCCTGACCTTTGAACCTCTGACTTTGGTTCCAATACAGACCAAAATGATAGACGTGGATTCTCTAACAGACAAAGAGGTAACAAGGAGTCCTGGGGCGGGGGGCAGAAGTGTGTGTGTGGGGTGGGGGGTGGAGAGCCGCCCGAGTCCTCCCGTCCATCCTCAGTTTTAAGTCCTTGCCCGCCCTGCGTGCTCCCTTCCATCCTCACTTTGAAGTCAGAGTCTAGGCCGGTTGAGTTGGAACATCCTAGGTTTCCCAAGGACTGTAGGTGCTTTTCCTGTAGTTGTTGGGTTTTGAGGTAGATAACAGCCCTGTTTGCCCCACCCTCAGAGGCTGTAGTGTCACAGCTGGGAATGAACCGTATGCTCTTTTCTCTCGGGAGGGCAGGAGCCATAACTGCTGGGAGGCATGTTTACCAAACATGGGCCATGTGTCTTCCCACAAAAAGCCAGGTGGGCAGGGGGGCTGTTGGCTGTTGCACACACCAGATTGTTTTCTCATGTTGCTTGAAACACTAAGGAACTGAGAAGCACAATATATGATCATGTGTATGGTTTTCACACAGACAAGCAGGCAGGTGGTTGCTCTGGGCCCTGAAACCCTTCACAGAGCAGAAGCATGGCCTGCTCACCTGTCAAGCTCAGAGGGTGACAGGTCTTGAAACCCCTTCAGACCCTTGGGTGGGTCCCCAGGCTCAGGTTCAGAACTCTGGAGGCAGACTGGAAGGGTCAGGCAGGTGATCAAGGTCAGAGCAAGGACGAGGGTCAAAAATGGTAGAAACGACACCACTCCAGCTATGTGCTGTGAAGTGGTCAGGCTTGAGCCATGAAGACAGAAGCCAGAAGGATACCAATTCCAGAGCAAGGCAGGTGGCTGGAAGTCCAGCAAAAAGCAGACTAGCAGGAGCCAAAGGCAGGACAGTGTGGTGGGGATAAGAGGTGGTTGTTATCAGGGGCAGCTGCTGGCCTCATCCCAGGGGCTGTGAGGAGGGATTGTATCCTCAGTGGAGCCCACCTGGGCCTTGTGCTTGGCACCAGAGGGAGGTGCCTCTGCGGGCTGAGGAGCCCTTGCTACAGGCCTGTGGGATGGGGCTTTCCCTGCCAGTGGCCCCTTCTTCCGCCTCATCCAGTTCACAGATGGCTGACAGGCAGGTCATCTGCTTCTCACTCTGATGCCCTCCTTGTGTGGGCACTTCTTCTTGACCTTCAGTGCCCTTGGTTCAGCTAAACGTTCCTGCTCACAGGACCCACACAGGCCCCCTGAGGCCGCTTTACTCAGGTCAGAGATGGATATGGAACAGGAGGCAGCACCAGCTGTGTCTCTTCAGCAGAAAGACTCTCTCCTGCAGTCCCGGGGCTCCTCCCTGGTCCCCACAGGGCGAGCTTAGGTGGGAGCGGATGAGAACACAGAAGTAGGCATGGGAGCCCCACCGCTTACAGCCCTCGGCCCCAAGGAGCCAGTCTCTTCTCGTGGCCCCCAAGCACAGCTCCCAGGGGCTTAGCAAAAGAGTCTCTACTGATAAGTTGCTTTGCACTCTTGGACGCTGAAGGCTGTGTCGTCTGCCAGGTAATCCCGGGTCAGAGAGGCCTTGCTGTCCATGTGAGCTGTGCCGGTCAGGAGACATTTCTCCCATGTGACCTTCCACTTTATCCAGGGAAACGGTGCGTGAGGAAAGTTAAGCGAGGCCAGTTTTTCCTTGAGGGAGAGTTTTGTTAACCTGTGACTCATGACATTGGCAAAGACCGGTACACTCTGTCTGGTCCCGTGTTCATTACTTTATCTTATGGACTCAAATCACTGAACTGTTCTTTTAGCCAGTTAGTTAGTGTAGGACAGAGAATATCTTCTTACCTTGGAATCATTCTCAAGTTTCCACAAATAACAGGTAGAGGACAGTATTTAATATAACCAAGCAGAGTATATTTATTAACTCTTTCAACAAAAGGGTTCATTTCCCATATACCACTCAATAAGTCTGGGACTTCATTCTGTCTTAAGGCTCAGAGATACCCCACAACAAGATACTGCCCACCGGGCTTTGAAACTCCCAGTCATTGCCCTTTCCTGTCTCAGGCTTGGCGGTTCTGGGGTTGGGGCTGCAGTCCCACCCGTCTGCCACCAGGTGGCAGCACGGGACTTTGGACGTGAGTGTGGGCGCTGCAGGCTGCCCAGGCCTTTGTGGTGACGCTTTGGCTGCTGACGGGGGCTCCCTTTTCCCCCACCCAGAAAGGTCTTGGAGGTTTCTCTGTGGCCCCTCATTGCTCCTGTCTCTTGCACTGTTGAGCTGCCTTACAGCCTGCCTGGCCTTGCTGCTGACATGTACCAGCAGCTTGCTTGTTTTTGGTACTGACCCCCCCCCCGCCCCCGCGCCCCCACCTCCCAGACAGACTAGTGACTCTTATCGGTGGGAGCTGGAGTCCCAGTTGGGTCAAAGCCACTGGCAGCATCACCCTATCTGTCTAATGTGAAGTGGGCAGGCCCCCTTCATGGACAGTAGAGAGTGGGTTCTGCTCTAGGTAGAACCTGCTTTCTTCCATACTTCAGCCTCCCTCCCTCCTCACGAGGAGGAGATTTAACCTTTTACACATGCACAACCTCTGTCATCAGGTTCAGCACGTCAACACCCCACCCCCCGCCACACACACCCCAACTCCTTCCTTTTTGCCTCCTTTTTAATCTCCTGGTGTGGTGGCCTCATTCAGTTGAGCGTCTGAAAGTCAAGCTTACTCCCTACCCCACTCTGCAGCACAGCCCTTGACCACCAGAGGCTTTAGGTGCATCTGGACGGCCACACTGGCAAGACTCTTACGGACCTAGCTGATCCTACTCGTTCAGCTTTGTAGGTGGATTCGGAATAGGAAATTCAGTGCCTCAGTAGGACAGCCTCAAGTGTGTCTTCACAGCAGTCGAGGCAGTAAGGGTGGGTGCAGGAGCCACGAGACCCCCTGCCCCTCTGTCTCTTATCATGGCTTCCAGGCAGGGGGTCTGTTGAGGGAACTCTGGTTACAAGTTTCCCTGCACTCAGGGGAGCCCAGAGCCACAGTCTGCCGTCAGGTGTTCACCATTCCCTCAGAGTCCCTGAAGCCCGTGTGCGGCAGACGGTTCTGGGAACGTTTTCACCATCAGCCCTGGGGCTCGTCCTGTCTGTCTCCAGGGAGGCAGAACGCAAGGAGTCGCTGTTCCTGGGCAGGGAGAGAGGGTCCTGTGCTCCTTTCCTCCCAACCTGTGAGCTCTGCGCGTGGGGCCCCGCTGCTGGGTGGGCAGGCTTTGGTGCGGGTGTGATGGTGCAAACGCGTCTGTCTTCCTTCCCTCTTGCAGCGCGACTGGCTCAACAACTACCACCTGACCTGCAGGGACGTGATCGGGAAGGAGCTGCAAATGCAGGGCCGCCAGGAAGCCCTCGAGTGGCTCATCAGAGAGACGCAGCCCATCTCCAAACAGCCTTAATACCTCCTTGGTTTTTACAAAAAGACAAAACCAAACAAAAACGCTCTGGGGAAAGGAAGAAGCCCGGCACACCCCTGACATCTCCCCCATGTCCCCTCCTTCTTCCGTACTGCCCCTTTTTACTTTTAGACACTGAGAAGAACTGAGAATGTTCTTATCCTCTTTGATATTTTCTTGCAGACACTCAATCTTTTATGATTTTTTTTTTTAATTGAATGAGCCAAGAGTAGATTGCTGCCCCAGAAGGAGGGTTCCTACAGGCCGAGCACTCGATTGGGTGGGCGCCCCGAGTGGCCACAGCCCTCTGGCCGGCGCTGGTGAAGCAGGCAGTGCTCTGCGACGGCCACGTTCCCGGTGCTAGTTCCTCATTCATGATCCCCTTCATGCACACGAGACTGTATTTATGACCTGAGATTAAAATGTCAGAATGGGCTTCGTCTCTGCTGTTTCTGTCCTCGCGGCACCGTCTACCCTACTGTGTGTGGGGTAGGCTTCTCTTTAGGGCACATGTTCTAGGTAGGGGGGGTGCACTTTGGGGAGATATCCCTGGCCTCCCTGTGTCTCTTCTGACTTAATTTTCAGCTTCTTTTTCTTTTCTCTAGAAAGCCCAATGTTTTTGTTGAGTATTTTTATTTTCCTTCCCTGCCTCTGGTTTTAAAATGTCATTGATAGAGCAAAAAAAAAAAAAAAAAACCAACAAAAAATCATGCTGACAATGACAGCCTTCCGTGATCCAGTCTACAGTGGACAGTGTGGACGTCCCATTGTCTCATTGCTCGTAGGAAGTGGTCTTTGGCTGGTGCCTGCGACTTCCTGTCCTGGGCCTCCCCTGGACTTGCACACGTGGGGCAGCCTGAAGGGCTGGCAGAGCTTAGGACTCTGCAGCCTCAGACTGTGAGCACTGGGTTGGGAAGATGAACCCCTCCGCCCTTAGCCTGGATGTCCGAGGTGTGGTCTGCACTGTCTCCTGGGGTTTCTCAGGGGGACTGAGCCCTTCTTGCTGATGTGGGATCTTATTCACTGACACAGCCTTTATTTTCTTCCTTTCTTCCTGGGACTCATTTTCCTTTTCTCCCCCCAGTATTTCCTGGAGTCATCTCCCAAGAGGTCATTCCATTGCAAATCCTTGTCTTTGGGTCTGCTTCTTTAGGAACCCAAGACATACCCTGTTTGCGGCATATTTTTGCCAATTTCTTTCTTTGTATTTAGTATTCAGTAGTATGTAGAATGTGTGTGCACAGATAAAAGAATATTTCTGCACACAACGCACATCATATGTACAGACATCAGGCCATTCTATACATATGCAAGTTCCTTTTTTAATTTGGCAATATACATACCAAGTTATTTTTCCATATTGATACACATAGATCCAGTTGTTTTTAATGACTGTAGACTATTCTGTTGCATGGCTATATCTTTTTAAAACCAGTCTCATTGAATCTTAAATTACATCTTTGATTTGGGTGGTAAATCAAATCATCTTTGATTTGTGAAAAATAAGTAGAAGCATACGTTGGCTTTTCACCAAAGCATGCCTGGCACGGGCCAGTGCCCATTACTTTCTCCAGCTGGGGAGCAGAAAATGAATGATCTGTATTTACTACGGCTTCCCTGGTGGCTAAGATGGTAAAGAATCTGCCTGCAATGCAGGAGACTCAGGTTCCATCCCTGGGTTGGGAAGATCCCCTGGAGAAGGGAATGGCTACCCACTCCCGTACTCTTGCCTGAAGAATTCCATGGACAGAGGAGGCTGGTGGGCTACAGTTCGTGGCGTCACAAAGAGTCGGAAACAACTGAGCAACTAACACATTCACTTTCAATCTGTATTGAACCAGGATGGCAGCAAAGAAAACTTGACTGATAGGGTGAACCTAAATTGACAGAATACCTACAAATGGACTTGTCAACATTTACACCACCCCTCCTGCCTTCTTTCCTCCCAAGGATCATTGATTCCAACTTGCTGTGTGGGAGGAAGCAAGATCGACAGGCAGTTCTGAGGCTATATTTGTAACAAAGCTAGGAAAACACAGAAGCAGTGCCACACAGTAACAGGATATATTTTGATCAGCCAGAGATCAATTATTGAATGCCTTTGGTTCACCCTCCCTCATAGTTCTAATACGTTCCATAAGATTAGACTTAAAACAGACGTTTTCTCTCTGATGATAGAACTTACAAATCAGCCTTTCATCCACCTGAAAGTTGGAGCCCCACCCCTACCCCCTTGAGGACTCAGACCTTCTCCTCTGTGACATCCTGAAACTTTCCCTTTCTCAGGAAATGGGAGCTGTGAATTGCAGCTGTTTTGGAGTTTAAACAGACTGTAACTCAAGTGTGACGGCAACTCCACTGTTCGTTCACCAGGCTGTTAAGCCTGTCACTTCCCAAGGCAGCCTTAGAGCAGAGTTTGATTTAATTGGCTCAAGCCCAAGAAACAAAAAATTTCCTGGTGCCAAGAGCTTCCTGCCCAGACCTGCGTGTCTTGGCATGAAGTCCAAGAGCCATAAACTACGCGAGATGGCCCCAAAAAGACTGAGGACCAAAATAAAACTGATGTGCAAGAGCTCAGAAGAGACTATGGGGAGATAAAAATGAGGAGCAAATGAATCTCTTCTTCACTTTAAATGATAAATGAAAGTTTGGGTGCAAAAGCAGGCATTATGCTAAATTTGTGGAAGAATTTCAGGGAAGCTGCTCTTCTGTGTCTTTGTCTTGCTTCCTTAACCTTTTCTTGAAGTTTTAGGTACAAGATGGGATTCAAAAATGGCTATGATACAGGGCCTCTGCTGTGAATAGCCTAGAGGCTGCCTTCTGGAAGCTTGCTCACCCTCTGGTTAAAAATCCACCAATGGGGGGCTTCCCTGGTGGTCCAGTGGTTAGGCATCTGCCTGCCAATGCCAGGGACATGGGTTTGATCCCACATGCCATGGAGGAACTGAGCTCCTGCACAACTATTGATCTCATGTGCCCTAGAGTCTGTGCCCTGCAACAAGAGAAGCCACCTCAGTGAGAAGCCTGAGCATCACGACGAAGACCCAGTTCAGCCAAAAAAAAAAAAAAAAAACCTGTGTTGTTTATGCTGTGAGAGGGGCCCGCCCCACCATCCTCGCTCTTAGCACCTATCCAGCCTAAAGGCTGGTGCCAGCATTTAGCTGCCCCACAGTAACCACCGTTTATCGTCAGGTTGGAGCGTGTATCCATGTACTCACAAGCTGTGAGGGAGGCTTGCCCTTGGTTTTTCCTGGCAGCTGGGGATTTATACCAACAATGATACAAAGCCTCACAGGCTGCGTTTGGTGACACCTTTCAGCTTGAGCCCTGCTGGCTCCTAGGGAGAGACAGAAGCGGGCAGTTGGAGGGCTGGGAGAAGACAGGAGGGGTGCTTGGCAATTTTAATGCCAGTACTGTGGTGGCTGGTTCCTGAAAGCAGATGGAGTACAAAGAATGAGAAACTCATAGGATCAGAATTTGAAAACAAAAATTCAGATTCCGGCAAGGTGATGGCTGTTGTGTCATAGGTTTTGAATCTCTTCAAATCATTCCCTAAAAACACAGAGAAGCTGGGATAGCACACGAAAACTCATGGATGAGATTTATACCAAGTATATGGGACATGTATCCCCACAAACTTAAAAAAATTTTTTTAAATTGTAGTAGAAGTCGTATATTATAAAACAATTTTAACCATATTTAACTGTACATTTCAGTGGCACTAAGTATATTCACATTGTTGTGCAACTGTCAACAATCATCCACATCCTGAATGTTTCACCTTCTCAAACTGAGTTAGTGCAGGGTAACCAGTGTGTTTTGTCAGCAGCTGTGCCAAAGGACACTGAAGGAAACTATGAAGGGGTGTTTGATGGACTCGAGAAACCCAAAATAACCATCAGAAAAATTATTCTACCTTAAAGGGAAATGAATTCTTTAGTAGTCAAACGAATGATCCAGTCACACAGTAGAAAATATATGAGATTGCCATTAGCTTTTGCAGCAACATTTTGGAGAAGAAATGGAGTAACACAGGGCTGTGGTTACAAGGTGTTTGTTATTGTTTATTAGGCCTCAGATTTCTTTCACATGTTTTGTATCTGTGCTGATTTAACAATAATTATGTTAAAAAACTAACAGTGACCATGTGGGCAAAATTAGAGCTAATGGATTGGATCATTATGGTAGGGGTGGGGAGATTCGGTTGCCTCTGACACTGCACATATTCAGGGAAGGGAGTACTCCTTGAATTGATTCTGATGGAAACAAAATCTCACCAGACAATTATTTCTTGAGAACTGGGAACACTGGGATTTTCTTACTTTTCTTAGTTTCATGTTTGTCCATTTGCCTCCATGGCTCCTTCAGGGCAGGAAGGAGACTAGTTTTTCTTTTGAGGTTTCTCCATATGTTGCATGTTGAATGGGTGCTGGTATAGACAGGCTCAAACTCCACCACAGCAGGTATGTTTATAGCAGCCCGGGCCATTTTCTTGTCTTCTGCCCCAGAAGTCAGTGCAACATGTCCTTTTTTTTTTTTTTTTTTTAAACCTGTCACAAGGCACTGCCGTCTCTTCAAAGTCCTCCTTTGGCTCTGAGGGCCTGAGGACACAGCCCATGGCCCATCCTCCTCTTCCTTGATACCCTGGGTTGAAGACTATCAGAGTTGAATTGATGCTTTCTTGCTCTGTTTTCTGGTCCTGTCCTGTGAGTGGGTTACAGAGTACTCCCTTGCCTGAAAAACCCTCATCTAGTCTTTTTTCAGAATTCCTTGAACTGCAAGGAAATCAAACCAGTCAATCCTAAAGGAAATCAATCCTGACTATCCATTGGAAGGACTGATGCTGAAGCTGAAGCTCCAATACTTACGCCACCTGAAGGGAAGAGCCAACTCATTGGAAAAGACCCTGATGCTGGGAAATCTTGAAGGCAGGAGAAGAAGGGGACAACAGAGGATGAGATGGCTAGATAGCATCACTGACTCAGTGGACATGAGTCTGGGAA